AGGAAAAATACTGACATGCCTAAATGTCATGCTATAAGGTTACTTCACAGTTGTCACTATTCAGACTGATGCCTCATGAAGGTCAGCAGTAATCCATGTTCACCTTGCTGAGGCTGCCACAGCACAGCCCCCATCAGGCTGCCCAGAGCAGGCAAAGGTGAGCACAGTCAGCGAGCAGAGGTGGGAGTCACCTTGGGGAACAATTGGCCTCAGCTAGGGGCACTCCCTGTGCATAGAGAGGAGGCAAATGCAGACAATAAGAAAGCTGCCAGTAGCAGAACAAAGGGAATGTAACAATGCTGCTGTGTTCGTCAAAGAACAGAGACGGCCATTTTGCTTGCATAATTTCCAAGTGAGAGTTTTGCTGTATCTCAGATTAGTCGCTTGGCACAGCCCAGTACTGATACATAAGACACCAAGGGATGTATTAGCTCAACAGATCTCACAGATCTCTCCTCCCTCATGTGAGCTCTTGCCTGGGTCCATGGCTCTGCTCTGCGGTGCTGGGGCTCGCGGCTAAAGATGGGCACTGAGGCCTGTCCTGCTTCGTGCTCATTATGGAAAGACACTGAACCCTTTGTTGTTGCCTTGGGAGCAGGGGTGGCAAGCACTGGGAGCAAGAGTGACTAACAGCATAGAAAATGCCTTCCTGCGTAACTTCTACAAACTACAAATGATTTGAAAAGAACACAGACTTCCAGAACCCTGTATTTTTAGACAAAACAATTTCATCCACTATTGGTCTCATAGTTTTTCTTCCGTAATATAGTTTTTCTGCCTTACAAGACCTTACAGTACACAACACAGCTAATCCTAATTGAGCTTCTTTTCCACTAAGAGCAGTGCTTTCTACCAAGAACAGTGTTTTACGTAATTAGGCACAGATCAGATCCAAAGTAGGGTTTTTATTCACCCATTCTTAGTTTTAACATACACTAAATTGTGATGGGACCACATACAACAGTTAACACTGTGTCTGGGAGGATGCAAATCAAACTCGTTAGCTGCATGCATACTTAATTCCAAAGGAAACTGAAGGAAGTGCTGTGGTGAAGTTCACACTCACACATTGTCTGTCATGTATTGGTCAAAAAGAATTCTAATAAGTGTCTGAAAGGAACCTTACTACTATTAGAAAAGTCTAATAAGTTACACTAGCTGAGATACAAGGAACAAAAATAAATCAATAACACCTCTTGGGATATCCAGGATTTAATAAAATATATTCATTTTCATTAAGGCTACCCTCTACAAGAGAGTGATTTACTTCTGATTTCCTTCACACACACAGTAGGTAAGCAGAAACAATCCCAGTGAAGTCCAGGGAGTTACACTACATTGCTATAAACATGAGGATGATCCATTCCTTCACAGTTCCCATGCAGTCTTCTGACACTATGCTCTTCTTTCATCATGAATACAGGTAAGCCTCTTTGCCAAGTAAAATCTGGGAGGGAAAGGATGGCCCAAGGGCAGCAGAAGTTCATAGAATACTGTCACAGGGGACTGAGCAAACATACAGAAGAGGAGATGAAGTACTGGGAAAATATTTTACATGACTTATGAGCTTAGGAAAAAATCCTCAGTTACTTATTGACATTGCTTCTGTAATTATAAATAAACCCCTAGGCTAGAAGAAATTCAAGTTTTTCTCACCTGGGAAGTCATTCAACCTACTTGATATGCATGCCCTCTCTCTGCAAGCAAGCATGGTACAACACCACAGAACTGTCTCCAGTATGATTTCTCCTGTGTTATCCAACATTTCCTACCTATTTTTCATCCCTACATGATCCTAGGTGAACCTTCTCAGCAGAAACATACTCCACATCACCCTGAGGAAGTAGGCTCTACAGCCTCCTATAGCCCTGGAAAACCAATTCAAAAGAGAGAAAGGAAGGTCACAGTCCTCAGTGATCTCCATTTATTCAAGTTTAACACGACTGTGGAACTCCACTCAAGATACAGAGAACCCAGTATTCTAAAGTTTTCCTGTTGTATTTGATTATTATTCTCTGGAGCCCATTGGTATTACAAGTCTTTGTGCCTTGGCCAGAAGAGTGCTCTGGTTATAGAGAGTATCAGAAGAGGAAACACTGAAACCTCTCCACACAAGCAGGACTACAGAAATATAGTGGAAGTGACAAAATTCAATTTTAGACCTCTGCAGTAAACACAAAGATTTACAATCAAAAGGCCTATGTTTTGAATTAGCTAAAGAACCCCACAGCCCAATATCCAGAGTCAAGACCTAGGTGTGAAGTACAGTAAAAATCTGCCAGTGACCTAAATGAAAAGATCATCTGATCTGAGAAAGAAAGTATTGCAGTCAATCAGGTTGTACTGACTGTCCTGACTTCCTCAGGGCAAATTAGTTTCAAGATACAGCTCTATACTCAACTTTAACAGGATTATATCTCCATCTCTCCAGCCATCATCCCAAATCTAGGCTACCAAAAGTCTTTGAAAAATGTTAACTACAGAGTTTCAAGCACAGGTGACATCAGGTGCGACCTCAGATGCTTTACTTACAAGTCTACATCAAAACCCAGCAAGGTAACAAATCCAGAGGCCACGCACACTCTATCATTATCACCACAGACACAGTTAAAAGTTTGACTTTCCATTTGCTGTTTTTGATGTAAGTATTGCTAACTCACCTTTATGTCAAAACAAGAAGGTGGTTAGCAATAACTGTAGCTCCAGTGATTCTTCTCCTCCAACAGAAAGATGGTGGTAGGAAATTCTCCTCTTGTAGAGCTGCCAGAGAGCAGCTGTAGCAGTCAGTGATAGACTGCTGGTGTCAAACAGATGGGAGAAAAGATAGAAAATGAGGCTGGAAGCAAAGAGGAAGACGTGCACTGCAGATGATTGAGAACTAAAGAGTGAGTGACAGGACAGACTACATTGAGCACATTTTTATGAGGACAATAGTAAAATGATACCGAACAACACACTCCCCTTGGAAATTTAGCTTTCCAAGTTAATCCTGTCAAAAGTTGTGGTGTTATGAGGTGCTGTGTTTTTCAGGAATATCTTCGGTAGCAGTTCTCATGGTGCCAGAGATGTGACAAAAATAATATTATGAAAATATAAATTTAAATGTTCACATTTATCTTTCACTCACTGTGTTAGGCAACAGATCATATGAATAGGGAAGATGCTGAAGCTAAGCTAGACTAGAATACTGTTATCTCATTTTCAGACACACATCAGGAGAGAAATCAGATAGGGAGATAAGCTAGTAAGGGTATCCATCTTTGTATGTGCTTATTTGTGTGCAATATATTCAAAGCTCTTTTTCACCCAAATTTCTATTTTTGGTATGAACTGAGCAAAGCCTCTCCTAGAACCTCAAAGAATTCTATTTCCACGTGCTTCTGGAGACAAATACATCTTAATACATATTGCAGGATCTTTTCAGCAACTCTGGAGAGCAGGACAAAGATTCATCATCAGTTAACATGCAAACTCCATCATTAAGAGAACTGTGCAGAGCAATATAAAGCCTGTAGCTGGTTTTTATATCTGTTTCAGTGAGTTTGTCAGCAACACAATCTCGTAACTCAAGCAAGCAATTTTCACACAGCTGGAAGTGGCCATTATGTTCATATGCGCTTATCTGGACACTGAACAAGTGTTTGTTTTCTGGAATAAGCACTTAAAGAGTATCCAGTTTAGAAAGAACAAACATATTGGCTAATTTGAATCAAAGGCACTCCGTCATCCCAAATTAAACACTCAAGTGAAGATAGTTCTAAATACAGCAGTGAACTACAACTGAGAAACACACAAATGGAGAAGCCTTATGTTTAAAACATGGGACTGAGAGCTATTAGATCTTAGTTTCTCTCCTACTTCTGCTGCTTGACTTTTCCTCTTGATCTTGAGTAAATTATTTATTGTCAAGACTTGAATCTCCCCAGGTTCAAAAAGAGGCAGTTAGACTCCCTGGCTTTAAAGAGCTATGTTGAAATAATTTATTCATTATTCTTTGCAGAGCACTCTAAAATTATTAGATACTGCTCTGGAAATGCATATTATTAGTGCTACTATACTCTACCCGCAATTCCCAAAATAACCCTGAATATATCTTGCATGGATTTATAGTATTCTAAATTAAAGCCAGTGGTACCTTGAGTCCTGAACTAGTATGTTGTCATGAAAGTGTAAAATGAAGCAAAATAATCCAATCTTGATCATACTACAAACGATCTTTGCACTATCTTACTCTTATCATTTCTTACAGTACTATATTATGCATACATTAACTGTAATGACAGCAAGTAGATGGAAGGAAAGACCATTGCATGAAGGGCAACAGCTGAATGGCAAAGAGCCATTGCAAATTCTGAGAATGAAACCAACAGGCTAGCTTGAGCCCCATAATAAATGGTGATGTGATCAATATGATATGCTTCATTAGAAAAGCAGTAAAGAAGAATTTTTTAACTGGCTTTATCAAAGCTCAGCAAGTTTTGGACTGAATACTTTGGTTAAAACAACAGCCTTTTTAAAAATTATGTATTTTGCATAAGGCTGAGAGGTCCTCTGACACTCAGGATCAATTCAGTCCATTTGCTCATGTGAAGGCAGATGTAACTGTGTCCGTTGAACTGCTTTTGCTGCAACTGCAAAAAAAAAGCGGCTCTATAATGAAGCAGCTGCTCAGATGTTTAATAGTCCATGCTGTATCTCTGCCCAAATGTATATTTTCAAGATAGCTGCATCAACAAATTAGGGGTATGATTACAGATTTCTATCTGAAACTTTGATTAAGGCTGCATGGAATTGGGGTGAAAGGTGATGATAGGTAACGGTACATTAGCATATCTGACTAATGAGAATCATGGGATTAATTAAATTCTCACTATCTGTGGGAGCAACAGTTTTGAGGGAAACCGTTACTACAGTGACCATTTTATTTAATAACTTCTAAAGAAGTGCATTCTACAGCAAGCCAACGTGATAAAATTGACAGCCTCGAAAAGCTCCATTACCTGTTGGTCATCGGGAGTCCATATGCCACATGTGATCTGACTCTCCAAGTTTATTTCTGAAGACCAGTGTCTTTGTCCGCTGACTGAACCAACCAGCACAAATCCATCTCTATAGGAGATGAGTGCTTGAGTCCCATCGTGGCTCCATGTAAAGTCGCTTACCTTAGTATATCAGAGATAAGAAAACAGATATGTTAGACATGTAGTAATTTATTTTTGTTTTGATAAAATTTAGCATCGCACAGAGCTAAGCAGAGCAACTACTAGTCCAGCGGAACTGATTTTATGGCAGTCAGGTAAAGCAGCTGTCCTTTCAAAGACACTTCTTGCATACTCCATTCATTAAAGAAATGTTTCATTTTATCCTGTGGTTTTTTTTCATTATCTTTTTCATTTTGTCTCTCAGGACTTGATAATTCTGGACTGAAGAGAAAAGATGTATACTAACCTGTGCCCCACGATCATTTACAAGCTCCACAGACCATCTGCCCTCATATTGTATCCAAACAAATATTCCTCCATCTGCATCACAAGTTGCTAATTTCTGAAATGGTTCATTCCATCTAACCAGAACAACCTGAAAGGATTACAGAACATAAAGAGCATTACCAAAGCTGTGTAGAGTGTTAACAATTTTACAAGAAGAACTTAAATAATAATGTGAAATAAACAACACTGCATTTAAATTCTAAAGAAGGTATACAAAATAGCAATTCTCAGCACAGAATTAAATGTCTTTCAAGAACAGCTGGAATCATTTTGTCATGACTGTCAGGAAATGCAGGCACTCTTCCCAACCCTCTTTCCAATGATTTCCCCCTCCACAGTCTCGGGGTCTGCTAGACCTCACCTCAAATCCTCAACTCTGGTGACTCCAAATTGCATGCACTGACAGCAGATTCAATTTGAATACTCACGTCACCAGTGACACACACCAAAAATATAGTCACAGATCATTAAAACATAGAAATTTCATAGAAAACTTGCTCTGCTATAGAGTGGAGAAGGAATACAAAGCAGCTGTAAATTCTTCTCCGCACATTAGGGCTAGCTGCACTTTTCTAGAGAATCTAATCAAGTCCAACCTGTCATACAGCTCTCTGATTTATAATTAATATAAATTTAACAAATACAGAATCTCCCAAGGCCTCAGCACAGAACTGAAGCAAAAGACATATATATGTCATCTTAGTGCCTGAAGCAGAAATCAGATGTAAAACCATCCAGTTAAACCTTCTGTTAATGACTTCTTCTTAAAACCTTTGTTCCAAATTAGATTTATTTCAAAACATTCAGATTTGGACAGGATGCTCACATTCATACACAAGGTTTCTCCCCCATTCCTTTACAGAGATAAAGCAAGTGCAGATAAATAAAACAAACACTGAATTATCACTCAGTAGAATGTTAATTTTAACTACTTAGTGGACATCTAGATTTATGCTTTTTCATAAACCTGAACACATAATTACAGCAAAGAGAGTGGAAGACTTCCCTGGAATATATTCTGCCCTTCACTGAAAAGCAACGATGTTCCTAAATGTTCCAGTCCTGAAATGAACTCTGAGTAGACAAATCCACTGCATTTCACAATGAAAGCAGAAGTCATTTTCAGAATAAGGATATAAATATGTATGTCTGGAACCAAAACTGAACAGCTGAAAAAAAAAAGATGATCTTACATTCACTTAAGGAGTGCTATACTTATTTGCAGTGTATTCACTACAGAATCAACTGCAAATCAATGTAGCCCTCCATGCCTGAAGGATTAACCATTGAATGACTAAACAACTAAAAGAAAACAGTTTCTTCATGCATACTTCAAAATTATGTGAAGAAGTAAGACAAACTGCCTCCCTGCTGCTATGAAGCTAGGGAGATTCTGCATTTGGGATTTTGCAGAAAAATGCCTGGCTGTCCCTGAATCAAGTAGAACCCACTCCCAAAAACAGCGCTGTATGGATTATATCATACATAGGGGTTTTTTGTTTGTTTTGTTTGCTTGTTCTTGGAAGAGAAGTGAATAAGATATTCCAGCACAGTAATACCAGCAGCTGTATTTTGGTTGAAGACTCGCTCCGTCTCTTCTGTCTAAACAAGAACAGCACTAATTTTTCATTTCTTTCCTATTTCTTGAAAATCACAGCTATCATTTCATCCACCCTGAGACAAAACACAATAACTACATAATTGTACTTGCCAATATTACCAAAGAAGTCATGAAAACCTCATATGCAACATCAAGATAACTCTGAAAAATGCTCCTCTTTAAGACTGGGGGAAGGTAAGTCTAACAATTTTCTTTACAGACCAAAAAATATTTATAATCAGTCAAAATCAGATCTCTAGTGCTTCGGGAATCCTCATATTGGACTTTTCATAGACTGAACAGAATAAATTGCTAGAGGATTTAGGAAAAAAAAAGACAAAACTATTTGTTCAAATAAAATTAGGCTTTTCAGTGAACACAATCAAAGTTACTACCTGCCTCAAAATTGCTGTTTTATCTGACAAAGATCTGAGACAAACATATGATTTTACAGATTAGCCATACCAGCTGACTTAATGAAAAGAATTAGGGGAAAAATGGCAAGAGTTACGTTGGCGTGGTTTGCCTCCTTTCTATTTTAAATAGGAGCCTTCTTAAAGATCGAAAATATCTTTTGATTCAAATTCAGTGCAACATATATTTTCTTTCAATTTGATAAAAACAAAACCCAGGGACACATCTGAATGTAAGCATGACTAAATAGAGTTCTCCTCTTTCCTTCCCAGTTAGATACAAATCAGTAACTTCCAAATCCTCTATTTGGTGAGCTGTGAAGGTCAAAACTCCAATAAGCCCCTGGCTTTAAGAGTAATAACCTCGCTGCTTTGTAATTACAAATGAAAGTGAGACAATGATTTTATATGACTTCTGATAACACGCTCAATAAGTAAGTAATTTTGTAATTTGAAAATTTAACTTCTGAAAACACAGAACAAATGTTATCATTTTATGAGGTCACTTCCATCATTTACATTTAACATCTGACTACAGGTGCTGACTCCACAGCTGCTTTGAGTCCTTCCAATTTTGTTTTAGGCAATACAATATAGAAGCTGAGATAAAGAAAGGAAAAGAATTACCCCAAATATTACAATGACTTTTGGCTTTTACATTGTCCAGAATCTAAAGAATATGAAAACATGCCTCATAGACAGTGCCCTTAAATAATGCATAAGCTTGATCTACTCCTCCAGAAAAAGAAATTCCCATAAACCCATAAATGCAAAGATAACATCACTTTCCCTAACAGCTTCAACTCACAGGGGCCCCATCTTTACTTCTCCTACTTTTATGGTTCTCTACTTCCTATTCAGCTATTCATCTTCCCATAGGCATTCAAGGACTAAACTGTTTTATCTTGTAATGAAAGAACAAAAACATTGGTGCGCCAAAGAAAGTTGCCTGTGGACTATTTGTGGCCTGCACAGCCTATGCATAGTGCCTGTTTATTTATTTAAAATTAACTATAAAAATTGCAAATGGTGCATATTCTACTCTATAAAAATTTTGTATTGCAGACATTAATCAGCTTTTGAATTGGTACCTCATGCAGACAATTATCTTCCACAAATAAAACTCCAAGGAACTCCTAGTCTAATATATTCATTTAAGTACAGTATAAAGGCCAGTATATCACAGCAAATAGGATTCTTGCCATGAAGTTCAATGAACTTTTGAATCAAAGTCTTATGTTTTTTTTGAGCTCCTTCTGGACAATGCTTAATGGTGAAAAGTTTATCTGAAAAGTGGAACGGTCCTTATTTTTAATAGCTCTAACTGCCAACTTGATTTTTTTGAATTAAATTTAATTTACATTAATGGTGCTAAAAACTCGAAAAACTGTCTGTTGTTATAATTCTAGAAGTAGCACAATCAATAAAAAATAAAACATTTTGAAATCATTTTCACCACAAAATAAGGACCTGTCATTAAGATTCCACTGCAGCTTTCATGTTAGACATTAAAAAATATATGGTTTACCACATATTACATTTTTATGGCCTTCTACAAAGGAGTGATGATGTGGATGAACAAAGGGAGGGCAACTGATGTCATCTACCTGGACTTGTGAAAGGCATTTGACACGTGAACTGGAGAGAGAAGGATTTGAAAGCTGGACTAATTGGTGAATGAAGAATTGGTTGGATGGTCGTAGCCAAGTGGATGGAGTCAATGGATCTGTGCGCACATCCAGCTGAAGGCTGGTCACAAGTATGACTCCCATGGGTCAGTCTTCGGACCAGTGCTCTGCAATACCTTTATCAGTGACAAAGACAATGGGAGTAAGTGCATCCTCTGCAAGTTTGCTGATGATACCAAGCTGAGTGGTGCAGTTGACACAATGGAAGGAAGGGATGGAGAACATTTCTAACTCAAAAACGTCAATTACATTTACACCTCAATAAGCTATATGCCATTTTGTTTAATGCTTTCACTCTCATTTTTCCCATTTCTCCTTTGAGTTTGCTTTGTGATGCCATCCAGAGGGACCTGGAAAGGCTTAAAAAGCGGGCTCATGAGAACATAATGAGGTTCAATAAAGCCAAGTGCAACACTGCACTTGAGTCAGGGCAATTCCGGATATGTGTACAGTCTGGAAGAACACACTGAGAGCAGCCCTGCAGAAAAGGTCTTGGGTTGGACAAAAGGCTGGATGTGAGCCAGCAGTGTGTTCTTGCAGCCATGGATGCCAACTGTATCCCAGGCTGCAACAAAACATGGATGGCAGCCAGGTGAGGGAAGTGATTGCGCCCCTCTGCTCTGCCCTCATGAGCCCCCACCTGCAGTACTGTGTCCAAGCCTGGGACTCGCAGCCCAAGGAGGATGTGAAGCTGCTGAAGCAAGGCAAGAGGAAGCCAGAAATACGGTCAGAGGGCTGGAGCACATCTCCTGTGAAGAAAAGCAGAGGGAGCTGGGCTTGTTTAGCTTGGAGAACGCTTCAGGGAGACCTCACTGCAGCCTTCCAGTAGTTAAGGGGAACTTATAAGTAGGAGGGAGACAAACTTTTTAAACAGCGTAATAGTGATAGGACAAGGGGGAATGGCTTTATAATAAAAGAGGGAAACTTAGATTAGCTGTTAAGAGCAAATTCTTTACTCAGAGGGCAGTGAGGCACCAGCACAGGCTGCCCAGAGAAGCTGTGGTACCCCACCCCTGGAGACACTCAAGGCCAAGTTGGATGGGCCCTGGGCAGCCTGAGCTGGTGGCTGGGAAGCCCTGCTCACGGCGTGAGTTGGGACTGGGTGGGCTCTGGGGTCCCTTCCAGCCTGATGCATTCCGTGATTCCAGGACTTTGTAAGAAAGCAGGTGTCATTTGCCTACGTGAAGCAGCAAATACACTGTTTTACAAACTGTTCCAATTTCTGCTTTAAATTGTTATTTCTTAGAAGTCCAAGTTTGAAATGGCAAGCAGAGACCAAAGAAGCCTGAATGCAAACACAGTGGGTTATCACAGTGGAGTCCCATTTTTAGAGTGATTCCTCGATAAAACTGCTCTGAAGGTATTTCTTCCTTTTCTCCCATTGAAA